ACACACACACACACACACACACACACACACACTCCATCATCGCCCACCTTTCACCTTTCATCTCTCTGCAATCATTTTGTCTCATGCACACAAATGTGACCCATCTACTCTTTAGAGCATTCAGTAAAATGGTGAGACCTCCACTATGATGAAAACTAGACGTCCATGGCTGCAAAGTCAGCAAGTGGTGCAAAGCATCGTTACTGCAGAACTTTATTTGAATGTTTCAGTTCAAAGCTCTGCATGCATCCAAGTAACCCAGTTCAGCAGCATGTTGTGAAATCATTCACTTCAATGCAAATGTGTCTTGCCTTGTTTTTTTTTTAATCTGCAGCGACTGATTGTGAATGGTAATCATGTCTTTTTAAATCAGTTTTTATACATTGATGATGTGTATTTTGTGAAATTGTGTTTAGTCACTTTGCTTCTGTGCATTTCTTTGTTTTAAAGTCATTTATTTCACCATTTTGCCTTTTTTGTGATCACATTTTTATCCCACGTGCGTCAGTGTTCTCTTCTTCCTTTTGTGCATCTCGAGGAAAAGGGTGACGATTTGCCACGTTTACTTAATCACATTTTCCCTCCTTCAGCTCCACTGCATTAGCAACACGGATGAACGGTAATGGAGGAGGTGATTTTTCTAGTAATTATGAGGGGAATTTCCGGTTGATTTGTGGTTCTTAATGTTTTTCCTTTTTTGATGTTTTAAAGCAGAGGTTATAACATCAAACAGGATATCTTCTGTGGTATTATTACTTTTACCGTGAGGGCAAATAATGCCAGCTAATGAGTTTCCACTTGCAGATTGCTTCATGATACCTGTCCTGCATTTAGTTTTATAAATTAGCATACAAATATGGTTTTGGCGTTCTTTTATTTTGTGTTTGTCTGATAGTACCAAGCATTTGAGATTTGGTGCTGAATGTAAGCATTTGTGACAAAGATTTACAGCCAGTGCGGGCAAATTGTCAGAAGCGATTAACGTTCACTTCCGAAGTCCTGAGGCTTGTTTGTCTCTACGAGCCCCTGGACTGGTTAGCTAGTATATTGTGTGTGTGTGTGTGGGGGGGGGATGAAGACAAATCGATTGTGACACCATTTTTACAGCACTCAATTGCAAGCCACCTTTCATTCTGCGTGCTCGGGAGAGGCAGGAGGGGGAGACGAGTTTTGCCCATTGGCTGGTTTCAATTTTAGTAATGTGTCACATTAAAAAGTCGCAGCATCACAGAGCTGACAAATGGGCAACATGTGTAATCAACTTGCTTGTATTAATGAGCCTATTATCTTGTTTCTGATGGGCTTTTATCAGCGGCAGTTAACATGCACAAGTGAAGACGAGGAGTGGGAAATACAGGGCTGGGGTATAATAGCTCAACACGGACTCAACATTTTTGTTTCTTGCCTCATAAAGCGCCTCTTCTGAAATGGCAACAGATTTTATGTAACCTGGCCATTATGAATCTCTTGGATTATCGTTATCACTCTCTTAAAAAGAAGAAAGCTTAAATTAAGATGTTAATGCTTTTAGAAAGCATAAAGGTCATTTGCCTTTCTTTTTTCGTTCACCTCCTCACAACACTCAAATACCACCAGCTCCACAACCAGCCACCTCATTGCTTTTAGGCCCAACTCGAGACGTGCTTTGTTGTGTGAGGTGAAAATGACTGAATGTGAGTCATAAAGCTCGGGGATAAGATGGGGAGTGGTACTGTTAAGTGCTCTGCAGTGGGAGACCCGGTGTACACTAAAGCAAGTGTCACATGTGGTCGAATGGTGGAGCCCAGCAGCAGCTCGCCTGTCATTTCACACCCCTCGGAGCATTGCGTTTGCACCTTTGCGAGCATTTTGCTGCACGTTCCGGAGCTCGGATAGATAAGCTTGTCCACCAAGACAGATCTATGAAGTGCATCGCCGTTTCTCATTTTTAGTGATAGCAGGCCACATGTGATATACAAGGTGAGATTGATGAAACATGACTCTTTGAAAATGACTGTAGGTAAGGCTATAAATAATAGCATAGCCAGCTATTAATCAAGAGGGGCTAAAAATTGCAGATGCTTTACAACAGCTCTTACATCGCTGCTTTGGATATACGGTTTGTTATCTTGAGTCTGTGAACCGTGTTGTGCAGCAAAGGTTTTCTCTGACAGACTTAAGCATGTTGTCAAACACACTTTATGCCTTCAGAGTGTTGGGATGTCATTGCTATGTGTAGATACTATATGTTCAGACTTAATATACACATTTACAAAGAAAAAACACAAAGGAAGTTGATTAGAAAGATCTAGATTAAAGTTCTCCATTACTTCAACAGTGGTCTCTATGAATGACGGATTTTCTGCATAAAAAGCTCTTTCCCTCTTTTTAGGAGGTAGTAAAAAGCAAAATTTCACATTTGGCTAGTTAATATTCTTGATATGCAAACATCTCACCTTTGATTGGCTAACAAGCTCGTCAATTGCACCTGTTAACAAAGCTCAGAATACTTTACAGCATGTTTTTTTTTTTAAATTTGGGTTAAAAAATACAACATTGATGTTTTTTCTCAACAAAGAACGCGAGCCTGAAGGAGTTCCATGTTGTGGAGTTGCTAATGCTAACGGTTAGCTTCTACCAGTTGAGATGTCTTTACTCTCTTGGCTGCAAAATCAGTTAATCCACCTGTGGTCACAAACGAAGTTGGGTGAAGCCATGAATGCTGTTTTACAATGACCTACAAGAGGCTGTTTTTCTGACTCAATAATTTTCCCGTCGACTTCCTTTCTGCGGCTGATACAGACAATATGTTATAAAGACTATTTTCATGTTCGGCATGCATGTTTAACTCAGAGTAACTGATTGTATTTAAAGAACAAGTCTGGCTCACAGTGGCATTGTGACATCATATGGTACCATCTAACGTCATAGTACCTCTTGGCCAATCGCGATGGCAGATTAAAGTCAAATGTTGTGCAGAGTTTTAACCAGAAGACTTGCGCAACTCTGACAGTTTTAGGCAGACTAATAAAACTTTTAACTAAGATGCACTAAAGTGCTAAAATATTGGCTGCACGTGTCTACAGCCTGACTAAACCCTCATTTATAGAGATTATCAGTAAAAAAAAAAAAAGTAGATTTGGTGGCGACTTGCTAATGTTAATGCAAAATGGGTAATGGATTGAAAACATTTACTTTTCTATGACCAGGTTCTGTTGTGAACAGAACTTGAGGACCCGTGAGGACACAAAGACACAGTAAGGTGCTTATTAATGTCTTTATTAAAAGAAAACCACAACTAGGTGTTACCAGAGGTGGGCGAGGCTGAGGCAGGGTCAGGAGGAAGTGTGGGTCAAAACCAGAGAGATCCGTGAATGCTACAAGGGGCAGGCGGGATGCGGAATACAGAGAATGGTCCGAGGTCGAGAATCCAGGTGGTCCGAGGCAGAGAAAACGATCCAGCCAGGAAGCAGGCACGTGGGTTGGTCGAGGAACAGAAATGAGGTCAGGATCTATGGAACAGGCAGCGGTTGGAGTGCTGGAGAATGTACTGGCGTGAGCTTTCAATAATCTGGCACTGGCTTGGTGTTGGTCCTGGTGTTATGTAGAGAGTGTTGCAGGTGAAGTTGATGAGTTGATGCGAGACAGGTGGTTTGGATGATGTTGATGTTGAGCTGGTTGCGGTTGCTGGGGAAACTGGGCTTGGCTGGAGCAGGGGCATGACGGGTTCATCCTAAAACCATAATGTTTTAATAAATGAAAGATTTTTCAGCCATTTTTAGTTGAGTTTCTGAGTAGAAGTAAACATTTTATCTCTTACCTGTTATGGATAGCTTCCTGAATGGCGTCCATTCTTAGAATCGAATTCCTGTTTAATCTTCTACATTTCACAGGAATTCATGCAAGGCTACTTGATAAAATTATTGCACCTTTGTTAAAATTGTATTCCACTTTTATTACTTCTGAAACAATAAATCAATGCAGCTTTAGTTATGAGGCACTTATTTAACTTGGTGAATGACAAAGTGCTTAACATAAAGTTTAAAAACATCAGCATCAAAACAACAAACCCACAATTACGTACGTTTACACAGAACCACCTTTTTAAATGGTAGAAAAATCCCTTTAATGTGTTTTGACCAGAGTGACAAGAGCAACTAGCGGGTTGTCTCGCTTCGCCCTCCTCCTCCTGTTGCGTTAACCTTCTGAAACAATGGGCTGCGTCATTGAGTATTCACTGGAGATTTGAATGAATGAATTTGGCCCGACCTTATCCAGGTGGGATCTGCTGAGCTTTTTCATCATGATCCGGTGGCCTGTGTTTATTGATTGCTGTGTCAAGCACAGGGGCATTGTGGCTGTCTGGTGGCTCCGCTCCAATACAGATCACCAGAGGCACGGGGACGTGCAACGCAGATGCTAGCAGCTCAGAACCAAGCAAACAAGTTAATTATACCTCCAAGAATTTCCTCTGCATAGTGCTCTTTCTCTGGCGCATTTGCATTGAATTTTTTTGTGTTAAAGAAATATTGCAGACATAAAAAAACACACATTAGAATTTGTTGAAATGGTTGAATCGCAGCTGTTGCTTAACTGCAGCCTGTCTGATTCGCCTTGCATCATTAAACTAAACCCTATTATTATGAGATAAAGAATGCAACTGTGAAACTCCTGACAAAAAGCTCGCAAAATGTGACAAGTAACAATTATTTTGCCTGTGTAATTCCTGGGCTTTGACACGGCACAAAATATTCACAACAAGTACTAAAGAGTAATTCCATGTCTAAAAATGTGTTGATCGTGACTTGTAAAAAAAGAAAAAATCTCACCAGCTAAATGTGTTAGTCATTCTTTTTGTGCAGATTAAAAACTGTTTAAAGCAGGTAATGTCTTGTAAAGCATCAGAAGATTGCTCGCCTGACTGGCAGAGTTTAGTGCTTGATGTAGTAAAAAGAACGTTAAAGTGAGAATTTCTGATCCTGGTGACTAACTCCCGCTGGTTTTTTTTTTTCCCTCCACAGTGGGGGGGAAACTGACACGGACTCAGAACTGGAGGACCGTGTAGACGGGGTTAAGTCGTGGCTCTCGAAGAACAAAGGCCCCAACAAGATTCAGACTGATGAAGCAAGTCTAAAGAGCAGCAGGTTAGTTGTGTTGTACTTCTACATCTTGTCGAGTGACGATCTAGAGATTCAACGATCCTCGTTTCATTAGTCTTAAAAAGACCCAGGATCACCTGGGGCGCTGTGCAACAGAAGGAAGGGTATCTCATGTGATTAGGTGTCATCTCTCTCCCCCAGTAATCTGTCTAATGACAGGAGGCGGTATGTGGGAAGTGGCTGCTGTCACTTTTATTGAGGTGGCCTGTGGCCAGTTGGCACGCCTGCCAAATGACGCCTCTGTCAGATAGGTCCTTTCACTAGCTGATTGCCTCACTTTCAGCAATGTACTCTGTGCATAACAGCCGTGGTCAGAGGTACTGTATCTGTTCCCAAGGACGAAAAGGAAATGAGGAATTTTTACCTAAAGAGTGAACCCTTAGCTACCACAGATGGGTAGAAGAAGTTCCATAAAACCAAAACTTAGATTTTAGCCTGTAGATCTGCAGTTCTTTCTCATTATCTTCTGTTGGTTTTCCTCTGCTGTCAATTTGATCACACAACCCTTTAGATACTCAGCAAATTCGGATGCGAAGGAGACGAAAGAGGGTAAGGAGAAGATGAGCGATGGTGGTAAAGATGGGAAGGAGGTGGAGCAGAGCCGATCTGTGTCTGTCATGAGTTCCCTCAGCTACAGGAAACGCTCCAATCTGAAGGACTCCATTGGAGGTACAGGGGACGAAAACTCCTTGTTTAGCACTTTGAAAGAACAGCCTGACCTTCCTGACCATGCTGCCATCCGCAAAGCCAAGTCAAAGACTGGTGAGGTTCAGGAGGAGAGGATGAAGAGTTTAGAAGATCTAGACGACAAGGGCTCCATCATCTCCCTGGCCTATTCTGAAGCCACCAGCAGAGCCAGGAAGGGCTTGGAGTCCCGCTGGACATCCCGCAGCAGCCCGGAGTTTGATAAGGAGTCCACGGTTTCTTCAGTGGCCCCCAGCAGGATGTCTACCAGGAGGGGCATGTTGGACATGGATGAGGACAACAAGTCAACCATCAGCAGCGTGAGCCGTTCCAGCCCCCGTTCACTGCGTCGCAGCAGCTCTCGCATGTCAGTAGCCCGCAGCTGTGGCCTCAGCGAATTCGGACTTCACGTAAATGATGACGATGGCCAGAGTGCTGTTTTCAGTGATGGTGGACACTCGCCTTACTGTTCCATCAGCCGCAGCTTCTCCATGCCACCTCAGCCACGTTCCTCAGAGGGAAATCCAGCCAACACTTCCGACGTTAAATCAGTCACCCACAAGAACTACCTGGACCCTGACTTGGAGGCTGCAATCAATGAGGTGTTGAGCTTCAAACCCATCAAGTTCAAACGCAGCAAGCTGTCCGAGTCTAGTAGTGAGGAGGAGAAGAAAGGTCCAGGAAGTGAGGACAGTAGGAAGAAAGAAGATGATGATGGCTTGGGCCGCAGCGCATCGAGCCTGCTTCGCTCTTCATCCAGCTCCACTCAGGATTATGGTAGACACAAGTCCAGGACCTCCCGCGCCTCCCGCAGTCGTAAAGATAAAAAATCTAAAACCTCCTCATCGTCAAAGTCCTCTTCCTCCTCCTCATCCTCCTCCTCCTCCTCTTCTTCTGAAGATGATGATGATCATCGCAGCAGGAAGAGCACCAAGGGGAAAAAGGACAAGAAGTCTAAAAGGAAGTCCAGGAAAAATATAAGTGAGTCAGAAGATTCCTCCTCCTCTTCCTCTTCAGAGTCATCGGAGTCCTCCTCATCTGGGTCGACCGTCTCCTATCGAAGCTCCAGTAGTGTGAAGAGGAACCCGAAGCAGCATTATGATGATGAGACACAGAAGGGCGCTCGTGGACAATCCAGCAAGAAGGAAGGCAAGAAGAAACAGAAGAAGATGGATAACTTGATGATGAAGTACCTCTACAGGCCCGACAGTGACTGATACCGGCACTACAAGGTGATGCTTGGTGTAATAACACCCTCGGAGCATGACAGTATTAAAACTCAGGATGTTTCACTCGACACACTAACCCTGCTTGACGTGTGAATATTTGCTCTGTCTCAAAAATCCTTTTAAAGCACGAATGCTCACCCTTTTGTGTTTGAAGAAGTCGTACTAGAACAAAGATTCTGACACTCTGAACCAAACAACAGTTTTGCCCGCATGTGTGGCTTACTTTTCCACGCCAGTGTATCTGTAAACTCTTGCTGTAACTGCACGTTCCCTCATCATAAACACCAGCTAACACAGAAAAATCTACCCACACTCTCACACAGTGACCATATGCCATCCAGCTATATTGTACGGTTTCACTCAGACTTGCTTTGTTTTTGCCAGTTTCTTTCTACCTTCTGAAAAATGACCAGTTTCTGCTCCACAGATCTAGCTAGATAGATCATAAACACAGTCGCTTGGGTTATTTATTTATTTTCCCACCCCTTAAACGACTGTGTGAAAAACCGCTGCTTCTATTCCTGTTCTGTGATGATAGAAGACATCTCTGCAAATGTGAGCGCTTCTCTCTAATGTTGTGTTTGGTGCTGTTATAAGTACTTAAGTGTTAAGAGAAAGTGTCTGGCTGCGACTTCTCCTCTAGCACAAACACAGACTGGCAATGAAGCAGGCAAAATTACACCAATTTTTCTTTTCACTCGAGGTGTGATAGGCCTGTTAAAACTATTTGATGTGAACACTTTGCATCATAATTATAGAGCCAAAATTAGCCCTGCGCTTTTAACGCTATCTATTTTAGCACCGTCTTCCTTGACAGTTTGAATGTCTCGTGGTTGTACATCTTTAAAACTGCAGGACACTTTGCCTGACTGTTAAGAAAATTGTCCTTGAATCTGACAACAACTTGTCCTTCTTACATGCTGGCCTTTAGTGCATTAAAGGCAATTTTGTAGGATGAATATGGTTAAAAAATATTCTTCTCAGTTACTTTTAACCCAAGAATACAAAATATTTCAGGAACGTTTTATTTATTTATGTATTTTTCCAAATGATCCTTCTTTGAAAGACAAAACTGACTCTAAGCAGTTAGAACAGCAATACAGAATTTGTCCTTTTTCAGGAATTATGAATGTTTCTTACCCCGTTCTTTAATATAATGTTGGCAATACAATTGTGTTTTTATTTATTTATTTTTTTGCTATGCCTGCCCCCATCCTGTAGAGCTCCATGCAATTTGAACTGAGCGCCGCTCAGCATTAGCCATTACTGTAACCCCTACTGCACACTGGAAGCATCAGCGGCGTGGAACGGCGGCAAATCCGCTCCGCTTCAAATAGAATCCATTATAGTCTATGGAGAGTAAGAAACCAGACGCATCCCAGAAGCGGCACGCCGCGCCACTGAAGATAGGATCAGGTTCTTTTTTTTTTTTTTTGCCCGCAAGCCGCTTCTGGGATGCATCAATTACTGCAGTTAACGTAGGGCTAGGCAGGAAATCACATGCTATTTCAGTGCAAAATCCCAGGTAATTTTCAAAATAAAAGTATTGCAGCAATGTTATTTATATATATATATATATATATATATATATATATATATATATATATATATATATATATATATGAAGCTTACACGTGATCCAACGGTTTATTTACTCACAGCAGCGTTCCACAAGTGCAGCTGTGTGTTTTTCAAGGCTTTAATTCCGCAGTGGAGAGGAACAACATCATACATGACATCAAACAGCGATAACAACATGATTTTCTTCTTTTTGGTTTAATGGCGGATTTCATAAACAAACTGTAACCTTTGAAGTCTCGAGGGATTTTTGTGATCTTGTGAGTCGAGCGAGGAGCACGGTATAAGCCATTTCACTGCTGAGACTTTTGTGGTGTGCACCCGAGTGCAGTGATTGTCGCGAGTAAACCGTCCTGCTGTCGTTCCGCACCGCTAATGCTTCCAGTGTGCAGCTAGAGTTAAACTATGTACAGATGTCGATCTTGTGCACAAGCATAAATGAAAAATTGGTGATCTTTCTTATGGACAAGCATTTAAAATAAATGTTTAAATAAAAAACAGTAATAATAGTAAAACAGTGTGTTGTAGTCCTGTTGGACGGCTAAAGGTGTTAGCCGTATAGGGTAAGGAATAAGGGAGAAGGACTTCAAGTGTGATATCACTTCTAGATGGTGCCCTCTGAGGAATTTTGGCACCTGGTTTTAGTTTTTATTTACACATCTTTAAAATCTTTGGGTTGTTCAAGTAGCTTTCACATTTTATGATTGGTTATTGACATCGGACTCGATGCAATTTGCTGGGTTCCTTGTATAGGAAACGTTTTACTGATTGGCTTAATGACCTGACCTGTACTGGAGTGTTTACTATGTGAAGTGCCTTGAGACGACTCTTTTCGTGATTTGGCGTTATATAAATAAAATTGACGAATTATCATATTTTTCGATGCCTTCTGTCTTTGTGGAAATCCTCTGTTCTGGCAAGCCATCCTAGATATGTAAACATATCGTCTAGCCATGACCCAGACAGATCTCAGTCATAGTTCAAAATCTGTCTTTGAAACTGTCTCCACATGCTATTGGACAACGAACAAGGTGACGTACTAACCACTACATGTCAGTCAATGGGGCAGTCCAATACACTTCAGAAGAAGATGAAATACATGATTTGATTGGCCCACCAAACTGACAAAGCGCTGTGATTGGCGAGACCCAAAACTGCTCAGGCCAATCATAGACCTGCAGAGGCTACAATGGAGCGTGGCTAGACTGACCTGCGGAACAAAATCATTTAGCAAATTCTACGGTCTGTCTAGATTTCTAGAATAGAAATCATGTAACCTGCACAATAAATTAAAACTATGGCAGAATTGCAGACACAGCCAGTACATGCTAAGCTAATTGCACTTACTGATCACGCGAGCTCTTTGAGATTTGCTGTTAACTTTACAAGTCACCCCAAACCACGATGTTCACCACTGCCGATTAATCTTAGAAAACAAAATTGTTGCAACACATTCATTTTAGAAATAATGAGCTAAAATCTGTTCAGCTAACAGATGTTATTGCAGCTCCATCATTTCTAAAAAAACCCGGGCATGATGAGATGCATCGCTTCATGGAGTTCCAACGGGAATAGCTGTTGCCACATTCAGCAGTGATATTGCATTTGCATGTTTTCCTAATATTGTGTGGCTTCACCTTCACTTAATAGAATTTTTCATATTGGTGGTAATTAGGAATAGCTTAGAGCCAACACAGCCACTTATTTCTGCTAAAGATAATATTTTTAGGTATTTTTTCATTTTCTGTTTTTACAGAAGTACTGTTTAACTCTATTCCATGAATAAAGTAGCCTAGTAGTAATACAAAGAGTTTTTATCATGTCTGGAGTTGTCATGACGACAGCTTCTAAAAAAGCTCTGATAAAAGCTTTTTAATGAGTGTGGTGGGCTATACGCAGAGTGCTGTAATCTTTTCAACCTTGCTGGAAGTTACTGAGCACATAAATGCAGAATTAATTTCTGTTTGCTTACCAAATGCATGCGTCTTTTGCTAATGATTCAGTATTCTGCCTCAGCCATGATACTCATGCATGTGAAGTGGATGCTTCCAGAGCTTGTTTTTAAATGCAATGGGAATTGGATGCAGAAGATTTGATGAAGGGGTTCTTTTTGCAAAATGGTCCCAAATGAAATATTTTCACTTGAGATCAAGAAAGAAGAAAATCTGTGAGTTTTTTTTGGTGTCAAAATTGAAGCAAAATATAAAACTGAAGCATAAATTTGTTAAACCAAAAAATATGCTCTCACAGCCTAAATGTTCTTTTATTCTATTTGATCAGCTTTTGTCTTCTGTAAGTAGCCAAGTGATGAAGTAATGGTGTGTCCGTGTTTGTGTTGACCCTTGTAGCCCTCCTGTGTACGGGAGACACCTGAGCGTTGGCAGATCTGATGAAGAGGATGAAGCTGACCGAGACTCCAGCAGGCAGTCCCTGAGGCTAAGCAACAGTGACGGCTCATTGATTGAGAGCTCGTCGTAGTCTTCACTCAGCCAACCTTGTTCTGTCAGTGACACCAATCACACAGGAGGAACATGCCCCTCCACCCCCTACTGTATTACCACTGACCAGCCGGCAAGGACACGGGAGGCTCATGAAGAACACCCGCTTTAGAAATAACACGGCTTTCACTTTTCATCACGTTTATTATGGTGCAACCTCTCTAAGCGTGATGCGATCCTGCTCCCATGGCTAAAATTGGGCTTTATTTTCCATGACAACAAACTGAGTCAATCACACAGAACCAAATATATATATATATATATATATATATATATATATATATATATATATATATATATATATATATATACACTAAAACCTGTCGTTAGCTTTAAAAACTTTCTTCTGCTGCTTTATTTCACCACAGCTGCTTCTTTCAAGCAAATTTAAGCTCTGCTCTGCTCACTCGCTCTCTGACGTCACTCTGCCAAGAGGATTTAGATAAGCTGCTCCGGCTGGACTTCTTCAAGAAGGTCTGACCAACTATTAAGATTATTCTTATCTCATCTCCACCCACATGGACTAGCACCAGAACCTCTACCAGTCTCTGTTAACGGTCTGGCTGTAGGTTTACACGTAGCTCATGTTCTGAACACAGATTTCTTTATGTGGACAGCTGATAAGTAATATATATTTATATATATAATTATATCATCTGAAAATAAATAAATATTCAAACAAAGCAGTTAAGTGTTTAAATGTGACTTTTTCTGGATGTTATTACATCTGGAATAAAATGCTTTGCACAATATTTGAATGAATGAAATTCCCCTCCTTAAAGCTCTTAAAGAGCCATTCTGCAGACACGTATATGATATTTATCTTTATTTTTAACCGTAAGAGGAATGCATGCTGGAAAGCTTTTGCTTCTGTGGCATAATTCCTGAAGTTGAAAGGGAATACATTTGTTGCTATCACACATGAGCTTTCTCACCGCTTGCTCGGTCTGGCTGATGCTGACATGCACGCATTACTGGAGTATTTTTAAGGTGCATCAAGATACATAAGCTGCAGTTCCTTCACACGCTGCAGAAGTTTTGCATTTGCTCTTCATGTTATGTGCTGCAGCAGTAGAATAACTAAGGCGTGATGTGTTGCGGGTTCAGTGTGCCTAATATCACCGTGAGTAGCTCAGGTGTTGACTGAATAAATTCCAAGTTTATAAATAAGCTGATTTCCAGAGATCAGCACCCAACCTTTTGTCATATTGGTCTGAAAGACTCTAAACTCATTGGCCAGAGTTGATCCAGCTGCACCATCGATGTGAAGATATGCATAAATCTGCACAAATCTGCTGGGACTTCACACGGCGACCCGCAGGACCCAGAGGAGCTAGCGTTCTGGTACCCGGCAGCACCTGGTAACCCCCAGGGTACCCCACACACCAAAGCTGTGGTACATGATGTTGACACAATGGCTGCTCCCTGTGGAGTTCTATGGAAATATCCGAGATCAAAGAACTTAGCCCAGCAGAGAAGCAGACATGCTCTAAACTGTAAAATCAGATTGTAACATTACTTAAAAAAAACATGCAAACTAATTGCGCTTAAAATAAAAAGTACTTGGGAATAGGTAGTAATGTGATGGAGCTACTAATATTTACAAAGTAAAATGCACTTAGATGCAAGTTAGTAACTAAGAGAAACTGGTATATAGTACTTTAAAATTTGCTTACTTGTATTTCTGAATTTTCTATACTTAAAGTGACCGTGTGTAGTTTCCATGGTGATCGGGGGCAGTAGTTGCCTAAATCATTGCAAGCAAGTAGTTTTCTTGTGTTCAAGTAAGACCTTGCCAACAGATGGCCATTAGGGTCAAAAATCCTTGTGAGTGCAACCTCCAGCAAAATAACAAGAACATCAGATTCCCTTTCATCACTTGCAATCAGTGAAGAGGTACATGTGTAAAAGAACGTTTATTAATGCTGAAAGTTTTGTAACCATTTGTTACAAATCAGTAAACGCATTCTGTCCTCACAGGCTTCCGTAGAAGGAAACTGCATCCAACATGGCGTCGCCCAGAGATTTAAACCCGCACCCAATTTTTATGGTTATGTTATGAAACGGACAAAATTTTTCAACAACTGGTATCTTAATTCATTTACAACATTTCAATGGATATTTCCAGGGATTAATGGTAAAAACTACACATTGTCACTTTAAGCAGTAGTAAACAGTCAGCATACTTCTACGTTTGTTTTACTAGTTTGTTTTATTAACTTGCATTAAAGGACATTTTATTTTGGATGCATTAGTGACTCCAATACATCTATTCCTGCATGCTATTTTTTAAGTGTATTAATAGCACTGGATCTCGAGAATAAAAGGGTCCGACTATGTTGATTTTGGTATGCTAAAATCATCAGCTTATTTTATCTACAGCTATCAAGTTAGATAAGTCAACACAAACGCATAAAAAAGAAAAAAATGCCAGAGTGTTTGTGTGTTTTTTCTCATGCAAAGTGAAAAAGTGACTATTTGCATATCAGAAAAGGTTTATTAGCATTTTCTTTATTTTTTTGTGCATCTGACATGAATATTAATGCAGGAGAGCAGAAGTCTTTCATGTCAGTGATACCAAATAGACTCGTTAATAAATATATTGGATTCCTGTATATCTAGTTACCATCTTCACACATAATGTGCAAATGTTTCTACTCTAATCATATATTTAAACTGTGTTTTCATTATGGAGCCGATTGCTTGTATATGGATGATTTTGGAGACATTTTTGTGTTTTAAATAAATTCTGTTTGTACACAGACTCCATGTTGCCTTATACCAGATTAGTGCAGGGATCCACCTTTTAGTTCTTGGCTTTCAGCAGACTGCTGATGAAAAGGAGGTCAGAAAGGGACAGAGTAGCTTTGGCAGAACAAGTTCTTGATGTGTTTTATTAATTTTAGCTCATTTACCCTTGAGAAGTGTCTAAACATTCCCACCCTGTTTTCCTGCGAGACTCCAGTGGAAACGAGCGATTCATGGAAATGATTAATTCTGAGCAGATGAAAAGGAAGACTGAACACTGCTCTCCACACCTTGAGAGATTTGGGTTTGTTAATATGGCTGCTGCACAGCTACACCGTTCAAAACTAAGCTTAGGGCAAATTCAGGAAGATCAAAAACCGAGCAAGCATAGTCTTCTTCCCCCACATCAATCTTTCCCCCATCGGTGAGACTTGCCTAGATTCAAAGGGATTGATGGTTTTAGATTACCACCTAGGTTGACATTCACACACACACACACACACACACACACACACACACCAAGCATGCTTTTGCTTCAAAGAATACCCTATTTATCCAACCAATCTGTAATCCTCATTCCTATACACAACCTGTTCTGGTGCTTTGCTCTGTGCCCGGGAGCTTTTTGCTGTGATTCCACCTCACTTACGTGCACCCTCTGGATGGCTGCATGTTGCTGCTTAAAGGCTTTCCGCTGAGTGACAGATTAAATTCTGCTCCTGATTTTACTTATTTTGGCTCCAACACTGTTTCACAAGCCACTGGAGCAGGAAGTCATTAGCTCGACAAAAGCCAAGCCAGACTTGTGTTTGTGGTGCCACCCTTCCTGTTGTTTGAATACAGTGGAAGGACCCCAGAAGTTTGCTGCACTGGAAGACTTGACACTGTCTTCAGGGTTTCCTTATGTAATAATGCAGAAGGCCTCATCGCTGCACGGTTAATTAGATTTGTTTAGGGGAACATCTGAGTGTGTCGTCTTATCACCAATGATGTTGCGTGTGTTTCAGAGTTTGCCTGTAAGATACCCCATCAACCTCTGGATAGGCTTTAATGAAACTCACAAGAAGTAATAATTAGAAATAAATTTAGAGCTGATTAACATTTGGAGTTGATCCAAACAAAAATTCCCACCACATTTAATCTTGCCTATCTCAAAAAAGGCTTCAATCCTATTAGTTCTACAGATATTGTGCTAAAATGTGGAGTTTTAGTTTCTAAGAGTATTCTTCAACACACGGTCTGAGCAGTGGTGCCACTTAAGGGTGGCGAGGAGGAGGCCAAGGTCCCTCCTAGAAAATTACTGGCCTCCTCAGGGAAGACCTTCCCCACTTGAATAAATTATGTATATACATACATTACCCCAACTTCACAGTGGAGGCATCGGCGGCATGGAATGGCAACGGAATGTTTCTTCAAATAGTATCCCTTAAGCCTGATTCATGCTTCTCCGTCAGCTCCACAAGGGACAGACATGCACAGATTGAAGCGTTTTGCTCTCATACCTCGTCTCCTGGGAAGTGTTGCAAAGCAATTCCCCGCCAGGACAGTAGAGGGCGTAGCGCTGTTCTGTGGTATCCTGTCATGTGTTCGGTCCAAGATAATGTTTATATTGTGTTTTTTGTATATAAGAGACTTTTTAGCACAGACAAATTTGTCTCTCATTCTCCTCCACCTCTTCATGCGCTCGACACCTCTAAACCCACGTTTCCTGTCATTTCCGTCCACAAATAAAACGCTTGCTGCGCATCTTTTCACTCCTCCAGTCACGGGGGAATTAAACTCTCATATTTTTAGAGTTTTTTGTGAGGTATTCTTCAAGCTTCTCCGTGTCTGCCGCTAGTTATCCTCGGCTCTCTTTATGTTTTTGAAGGCGCAATTGTGACGGTGTAGACGACAGCGGTGCCCTGACCAATCACACGCTTGCGTTTTCCGTCTCAAAGGATGGAGGTTTAGAAAAGAGAGCTCGACTCCGTCCGTTCTTGCGGGGCTCTCCAGCAGGCCCACAAGGACGGTAATGGCGTTGCATGTCTCCGCACTGGCGCAGAAGCATGAATCAGGCTTAAGTCTATAGCGTTGATCCAAACCGGCTGCGTCGAGGGATCACCAATCACACAGGAAGCACGGGAAATTTCAGGCGCATCCCAGAAGCAGCATGCTGCACCACTAAAGATAGGATTGCATAAATATTTTACCGCGAGGTATTGTTCAAGCTGCTCCGTGTCTGCAGCCAGATATCCTCGGCTCTCTTTGTTTTTGAAGGCGCAATGGCAGCGCTGTTGACGACAGCCGCGTCCTGACCAATCACAAGCTTGCGTTCTCTGTATCGATGTACGTTGTGATGTTTAGAAAAGAGAGCTCGACTCAGTCTGTCCTTGCGAGGGCTCTCCAGCAGGCTCACAAGGACGGATAATGGCGTTGCGTGCGTCTATCCAGACGCAGACAGAAAAGTATAAATTAGGCTTAAGGCTTCCTGATACCGCCTCAACTTTGTGGCAATTGGCAGCATTGTTTTATAAAAGAAGCTAATGGAGCAATGCAATGGACAGCTAAAGGTTTAACACCCCCAGAGTTCCCACAAACCCAATTTTATATGCCACCCAAAAATTTTCACTGGCCTCCTTTTGAAAATGTTCTAGGCAGGGGCACCTCTCGCTCTGAGTGCTAACAGATTAGAGATAATGTTTTCATCATTTGCACAAAATAGTTTCCTTCAGGAAAGCTGGACTTTTAAACAGCCTTTAAATTAAAAGGAAATTGCTTTCGATTGGTCTGTCATGTACACACAGATATAGTCATAAAAGAGCAAAATAAAACTGATCACAAGCCACCTCTAAGTGAAAACGGCAGTCTCCTTGGTCTGACCTTGGCAGGAGGCCGTGCTGCAAAATGTGAGGTAACATGTTTTTCAGGCATCCTCCTCAACTATTAGCAGTCCCAGTTTTGTGCACGAAGCCTGCTGTCAATAAAGCACTGATTGGAGGCACTGGGACACAGCCTGCAGGGACCAGGTGAGGAGGCTGCGTTCATTTGCAATTCTGAGATGAAAAGAAGCAGCAGAGTGTGCTGCTCCAGCGCCTCTCTTTGTTTGCACATATCATTTCCACTCTAATGAATGCTACGCAGTGGTGCGCCCTTGTTACAAGGCTCAAAGGTAGGCTCAAACATTGTTTACATTTTGCATAGGTCTTTGCAGGGCCTGGGGAGAAACGCAGCACTTTCTTCTCCCGTCTGGGACCTATACTGTAACAGCAGATCATTTTGGCTCTCAAAGCAGCAGGAGGAAAAATCTGTGATTAATTTTAGTTTGCCTCTATAAAACCCAAGAGTTAAACCTTGAAAACAAATTGCTGAAATCCTCGGTGTGGAAAAAGAAAACGTCTATCAAGAGTTTCAATGCTGGATTTGTCTCTCTATCTCCACTCCACACCATGCAGGTGGCCAGAGCCTCCTGCTGTGCTCAGAGCTGTTCGGTGCTTAGTGACTGCCAAAGGAGAGTTGCTGCCCCTGTTGCTGGCATGTGTGTGTGTGTGTGTGTGTGTGTGTGTGTGTGTGCGTGCGAGCGTGTGCAAAAGGGGAAGGAACATACAGGATGCACTCTGCAGCAGCCCACTGCTTCGAAGGGATTTGAAAGTGTAAATGGTCGTTCCTCCTTTCTTTTTCTCAGTGGGACGGATGGAGCATTACCTGTTTCACCATCGCCTCTCCTCTGTGATATGATTTCATCAGTGTTGCTCCCACCTTCTCCTTTCATGTTTGAGTTCGACAACCTTTTAAGAAGCAGAGATACAAGAGCACTTTGAAGAACAGCAACTTAAAAATAGCCCTCAGAATGATTATATGTCTGATGTTAGCATAGATGGTGTATTTGTTGCACATATGTATGTCTATCCTGCTGTTAGATGCTTGTTTATACAATATACAGTCTAAAAAAATGCAAAAATAAAGCCCACAACATTCACTGATAATCAGTTAAATATACTCAAGTGGAACTGTTTAGATACAACTCTGATTATCCAACAGAGGGCAGAAGACATAAAAGATCCAAGAAAGCACATTTTTTGAGGAATGTAAAAATCCTCTTAAGGAAATAGAGATAGAAATATTTACTCACTCTCTAAAAATACAAACTAAACAAGGACAGTCCTTATTTAGACATTTTAAATGCAGTACTTGATTTTGTGCATCAGTTAGCTGGTTTTGACTGATAAATGGTAATTAACATAACCTGTAAAAAATTTTTTACACATATTTTTATTCTTTAAATATTTTCTTTTATGCATGTGTTTACAAAAGCGTGTCCAACAGCTGTGACTGTATTTCAGCCTCATCACATGAACATCATCCACAGTTGTGGCTTTGTTTCATAGTGATGTTTAATTATAACAGATGTTATAAAAAGATTCAACATTTTCTCAAAGGAGACATGATAATGAGTGTTTTGCAACTTTTGAAGAAAAAGAGTTTACATGAAATACGGGGTTTGCACATAACAGGAACTGTAAACAGACTAAGAGGCTGAGAATGGACAGAGATGGATGGAGGTCTGTTAAAATGTATCATTTAATTCTAACCCCCGATGTGCAGAATTAAGCCTCAAGCAACGAAATCACTCCCTGAAATGTATCTTTGCTTTTTCTTAAAGGGACATATTATGACTTTTTAAATTTGCTCTATGGTCAATAGAAAACATGTTTACAAAGCTCTTTTGTACTAAAGTCCTCTCACATGTAGCTCGTTCAACAGTTAACTCTTGATATTTTAAGTACCTTCCAGAATGAGTATTTTTATGGCTCTGTTACATTAAAAACATGCTGGATTTGGCCACATCCACCAATCCCCTGCTCAGGCTGCTATTAGCTAAAAAGCTCTGATATCTGGCAGGGACTCATAGTAGAGCCGCTGCTCTTACACGTGAGTAGTATTATTTCCCCATTTGTGGCATCACAAATGGGGATTTTTACATACTGCTTGTTTAAGACATATAATTCCTGATTTTGGATTTTTATCACGTTTGGG